CTGGCCCGATTTCTTGATTTGTCAAACTATCTCATGGTTCTTAGGGGGCCAACCTAGGGAAGATGGGATGGACAAATCAGAAGAAATTATATCTCCTAAATAATGTCTTTGATCACTGCACAGTTTCGTGAGCGGTGAAAATGGGCGGGTAAATTGAGAACACCTCCCCAGGTGGCTGAGAAACATTAAGAGGAACAAGTGGGGAAAATGTGATCCTGAGTTTTGGATGTTGCTATCTCTGTCCTTCCTTCCTTCCTTCCCTCCCTCCCTCCTCTTTTCTTCCTCCCTCCCTCCCTTCCATCTCTTTTTCCTCCCTCCCTGATTTATTTTTTCTTTCTTTCCTTCCTTCCTTCTTGCTCTCCCTCCCTGCTTTCTTTCTTTCTTCCCTCCCTTCCTTCCCTGACTTCCTTCCTTTTTTTTCTTTTTCTTTCTTCCCTCCCTCCCTGCTTGCTTGCTTTCTTCCCTCCCCCCTCCCTCTCCTTCCTCTCCTTCTTTTTCCTTCCTTCCCCCTCTCCTTCCCTCCTTTCTTTCTTTCTTTCTTTCTTTCTTTCTTTCTTTCTTTCTTTCTTTCTTTCTTTCTTTCTTTCTTTCTTTCTTTCCACACTAAGGCTTAATGCGTTGTATTGCCAAGTCATAATTTTAGCACCTCTAACTAACTCCCAAGTATAGTTGAGGTACATTCTCCACAGGAAATGCTCTGGAAAACAATGACAAAAAAAGTTCTAACCAGTCACTTGATTTCATTCATCAGTTGTGTTTTTTAAAAAAATCTAAAATAGTATCATCCTTGTGTTCCTAGCATACATATTTTTCACAGGTCTAGTTCAAGGTCTCAAGAGATGTACACCACAGAATGTAGAGATGGCGAATATTCTTACAGTAATTATATGAGATCTGTAAGTTGCGAACCACCTAGCTACTCGGTAAGATGGAGTGCTGAAATGGAATATTGTGATACACCTCCACCACCTGTGCAGAGATATTGTTCCCCAAGGCCAATATATTGTCCTCCAGCTCCAAAGGGCTGCCCAACGGAACAGAAATATGGTCCTCCAGTACAGAAGTACCGTCCACCTGTCAAATACTGTTGTCCTCCTGGACGGAAGAGTCGACCACCTGCCCAATGGTGTTCTCCTCCAGTGCAGAAGTGCCGTCCACCTGTCCAGTCATATTGTCCTCCAGTACAGAAGTACTGTCGGCCTGTCCAGCGGTATTGTCCACCTCAACAAAAATATTGTCCACCAGCCCAACAGTGCTATTCACCTCAACAAAAATATTGTCCACCAGTGCAGTCGTACCATCCACCA